GCAAAATGGTCAAGACTTCCAACCAAGCCATTTTCATTTTGGTGTGTACCCTCCATGAACAAGAGACGGCTCAGTCAGGCCAGTTTGCTCAGACTTCCAATGGTTCGGACTTCCAATTTGTTTTTTCCCAGGCCGGGAAAAAGCAAAATGGTTCAGATTTCCAATTTGCTTTTTCCCAACCCGGGAAAAAGCAATCAGAAGTCTGAAGAGCAATTGTTCTTGCAGCGTGGCCAGGTCACCAACATGACTTGCGCAGACCTTTCGCAGGACCTTCGCGAACCTTTCGCGACTGCAGTGAGAGCACAATCGAAATCAGCCTTTGAAATTCGATTACTAACAAGGAAGAGGTGGGTTTTTGAACGACGCTCATTTGGATTGCACTTGCTATTGCTGTTGGAACACAGCCTAGGCTTCCCAAAAGATTCACCAATGCAGTGCCTTGAAAACCAACCCCTGCCGTTGCCATTTTCTGAATATAACAAGGAACCGTAGGATGCATCTCGACTCGTATCCACCATGGCGATGAGGCCACTGGGATACTTGAACATCACTGCACAGGTGTCAACATCACCCATCGCTTTGATTTCCGGGTGGTAGGCATGGCCAGTGGCGGTGACAGATTCTGGTATTTGGCCGCCACTGAGAAAGTCAAGCATATCAAAGTCATGAATCAACATGTCATGAAAAATTCCACCGCTGGTGCGTAGGTATTCCATAGGAGGAATGGGATTGTCCCGGCTGCATGTTTTCAGCAGCTTCAGGTTCCCAATAGCTCCTGCATCTAATTGGCGCTTCAACTCGCGGAAATGACGATCTGCACGTCGCTGGTAGCCACACACAAATGCAAGGTTTTTCTGTTTGGCCAATTCAACGGCTTCCACAACTTCATTCAACTCATGGGAGATGGGTTTCTCTGCAAGGACTGCCTTGTCAGCATTCAGAGCCTGCATGATGTACGGGAAATGCGTGTCCGTTGCTGAGGCAATGATCACTGCATCAACAGCATCTGGACCTGCCAGGGCAGCATCTAGACTGCTGGACCACCTGCAGCCCTTTTCGGTTGCAATGCGCTTGGCCTTCTCCGTATCAATATCAATGACCCATGCAAGCCGAACAATACCAGGCAGCTGAAGGACCGACTCCATGTGGAAGTGGCCGGCACGACCAAGGCCCACTAGGGCCACCTTCACAACATCCTCGGGACTGGCTGACCAGTGGCTGGCCCAGGGATTGAATAACAATTGAAAAGTAATACATCTACGTAAATCTGAAGTTTTTATGACATTAACACAATGTGAGCCTATTAGTACTATTAGGAAACACCGTGACGACATGCATGTCCTTCATGGCCAATTCCGCCTCCGGGGAACAAATTGCAGCGACCTGCAGATTGTCTGAGCCAAAATTCCTCAAAGCACGACACTCATCTCTTGAGACAAAGCATAGCTTTCTTGGTCCTTGCAGCCATCTGTTGTGCTTTCAGTTCGGTGGGATTGTGGTTAGAATATGGAGGACAAATATATGAGTGGTAAACAAATGCTAAAGATCTATACTACTCCTGGGCTGCTACGTCTGCTGGGTCTACTAGCTATCTGCTGGTCTGCTATGCCCATAGCACACTCGTGGAGATGCTAGATGGACAATACGCTGGACAGCCAGAACGGCCCTAGCTGGGATTCTTGCAAGATTCGGAAGGATTTCTGAACACATCTTTTCGAGAATCTGTGCCAAGAGAGTCTTTGTGCTGCTTTGCACGGAAGTCCACAACTGGGATTGCTGGACAGCCGCATTTGCGGGGCCTCCATGGTGACACGCCCTCAGGCCTCCCCGCAAAATTTGCCCAAACATGCAAGCATAATCAAACATCTAGTATTGAGGCAAGAAGTCTCAGGTGTTAGGAAGAGCTTCTCTCCACAATGCCTGGAGCTTCCTATAAGCCTGCCTATGCAGGATAGCCTGCGGAGGGTGTGTCAGACATGAGCTCTGCAAGGTTCACGGTCTTTCCCTGCTTCCAGGACATCTCCGCCGTGATGGTGGTCCGGACAACGTTGGGATGTCGCAGCATTGCCTGCTGCTCCAGGCGATGCATCTCGCTCTCTGGGCCGGCCCGCACCAGCTCGATGAACTCCGTCAGCTCAGAGCGATAGGCCTCCAAAATTGCTAGGAATCCTAGCAGTAGCATCATCACTCACCTCACCACTCATGACTACATGGCCTTGCACCTGGTTTGGTGTCACATATGTTCAATGGCTTCTTTACTTGTCAGCATTCCTCGCGTGACATTGCGTGACCTTACAATTGTACTATATATATACACATAAGTACAAAGTACTTCATCAAGTTAATCACCGTAATTGCTTGCAAACATCGTTGTAAACGGCGTCCTTTAGCCTTAGTTTCTAAGTGCTCCCAATCCCTGGCCAACACCACTTGCCTGAAGGTATCGTTGCGGAAAGCTGTGCATGGCCTGGGATGATTTCAAACCAATCAGGCCACCGACCAACAACCATTTCGAGCAGAATCTTGGAGGTGGCCTGATTCGTCTGGCAGAGCAGAATCTTGGAGGACTCCATTCCAAAGAAGCAAAGCAAAAACGAACTTGACACAATCCCGACACCTCAAGGAAGTACCAAGAATCAGAGAGGAGAGCACGACATCTGGTTGTCATATGATTTTGATGTAGCAAGGTCCCTCAAACGGAGCCTTGTCCCAAGAAACAAGTTCCACAGTTCCACGGAGTCATTCCTTCATGTCACCAAGCATCTGAGCTGGAAAACAACCTGCCCGAACCAATCCGGGTGGTGGCATTACATGCATACTTACAGTAGATGGTGGTACAATTCTGGTGGTGTTAAACCCTGGTAATCCTTCAATATAAATGCAACTATTAATAATAAATATCTAGAATACACATTAAACACATTTGATGTTCTTGTTTAAACAAGTAGGGTATCATTGGAGTCTGACTGCAAGCACCTTAGGAAGGTCAAGGGTCGACTCGATCTTCCGATTTACTGTTACGCGGCACATGAACAATTTGAAGATTTTCCAACCTGATTTATCCTGATTTGTCTTCCCATGTCTTCTGTCTTCAACCAAACTCCAAACCCTTCATCTCAGTGGCTGAAGGCATCCGATGGCCATCTGCCTTCGCGAGCTCGACTGTGCTGGTGAGTTCATTCTCGCTCACCAAAGGCCTCGATGCGCTGGTCATAACCTGAGGCGACAGAAGATGTCGCAAGCGCCCAAGGACACCGGACGCCTAGGGTGGAAAGTGGGAGTATCCTGTATGTCCAGAGTTCAGATCTCAGCAAGCGAAGGATGCCCTGCCCTCAAAAGTGGTGTGAGCCGATCCTTTTGACCAAGGCGTGATCCGGAGATCAGCCCAAACAGGAACCGAACAACTGTATTTTCAAGATACCTCAAGAATGAAATCTAAACACAATAAACCGTGACACACCAGTAATCAGTATATAATCACAAAACACGCCCCGTTTAAATAAAGAGAAACTCAGGTTGAGTACTTTTGTATCCTTTCAACAGGCTGTACCCCGAAAAGAATCTATATACTGTAATTAGGAACCAGGGCTTGGGTTTGTGGAGCCAGTTGGAGGATTGTAGGACATTGCTGGGAACATGGGCAGACAAAGTGAACCAGAGAGCACCCCAGCCAAGCAGGTTCTGCACGAAGGGGTTTGCTGTGAGATTGAGAGAACTTCAAAACTGAAAGTCGCCTTGGAAAATTCTACCATCATTGAGCAAGAAGGAACCCACGAACACGAATGCGCACACTCAAACTCTTGCTTGACACTCTTCAAGGGACTCATAAAAGACATTCCGCGGGACGTTCTTCTAGGACACGCTTGTGCGACACTATTGATGAAACTCTCTTGTGCGACACGTTTGTAGGGCACTCTTGTGGATCCCTCCTTTCTGCCAAATAATTTTGTAGGACACTCTAGCGGCTTTCGGGCCACTTTGGTAGGTCCCTCTTGTGGCACACTCTTGTGGGACACTCATGTACGACGCTCTTGTTGCGAGACACTCTTGTGGGACATTCTTGCGGGCGCACTCTTGCAGAACAATCTTGTGGGACAGTTTTGTGGAACACGTGACGTCCTTGCTACTACTAGCGATGCCCTTGTTACTAGTAGCTTCTTGCCACTAGTAGCAATGCGCTGTTAATAATAGCGATGCCCTTGTACGCTTGCAAAATACGTTTGTGCGACACTTTGATAGGACACTCCTGTCGCACACTCTTGTAGGACTTTCTTGTGGGGACTTCCAAAAGTGACTTGGCAAGTCTCCGGGGACGAACATGTCGAGACAAATACAGTAACTCTTCAAGCCGAGCGTGTCTTACGAGACCTGTTAGTCGCAGCAAAGCAAACACCTGACGCAGCCCTGCCAAGCAGTTTCGCAATCCAAGCCCCTCGAAAAGAGCAGCCGCTGACACGCCAACCCCCATGACACAGCAACATTCACCTGCGCCGAGTACCAAGCGTCGCAGCCTCATGCCTCACCATTCCCTCCACCTCCCATACAAACAGTATCCCGGCACCTCCAACACGCACAAAGCGCTGGGCCTGCCACAAAAAGTGACTACGCCACACCTTGACATGTCTAGCAATATTTACCATAGTTGGACCGCGCCATACGTTTGGAATTTTCTGAAATGATTTTGACCGTTGCTGCTTCTCCCAACTCACTCCAATTCGCAATTTTACAGCTTCGAGGCAGCTTTGAGGCAAGCACTTTCATGAAAACACAGCTTCGAGGCAAGCACTTAAGAGCAAATCCTTGATGGAACGCCTCCAAAAGACCGCCCTGAGAACGTATCCCAATGACGGGGCGACGCAAAGTGCTGGTCTGACAAAACACTGCAGTGCGCGGCAAAATCAGCCTTCAAACTTGGATCCCGAATGAAGATGACAGCTGGGCAACAAAAAGAACCTAGCCAAAAATATTCCAGGCATCTGTAGGCATTGTAATTGTAGTTTTGTTGAAAAGTACAGGCGGTAATTAAACATCAATGCAAATTTAGAGGTTTCCGACATGGGTGCTTTGATTGCGCAGTGCTTTTGAATGTTAAGTAATATATAAATATACAATACTTGGGATTTGTCAATATGCAACCATGGAAGTCAAGTGGCACAAATGGACCCAGATTCAAGACAGCAAAACCAAAAACTCTTGTGTGAGGAAAAAAGTATTGCAAATATAACTTATATATAACTTGTGCAAGCAACCGTAGGACGCGTCTCGGCAAGTATCCACCATGGCGATGAGGCCACTAGGATACTTGAACATCACTGCACAAATGTCGACATCACCAATCTCTTTGATCTCCGGGTGGTAGCTGTGGCCAGTGGCGGTGACAGATTCTGGTATTTGGCCGCCACTGAGAAAGTCAAGCATATCAAAGTCATGAATCAACATGTCATGAAAAATTCCACCGCTGGTGCGTAGGTATTCCATAGGAGGAATGGGATTGTCCCGGCTGCATGTTTTCAGCAGCTTCAGGTTCTCAATAGCTCCTGCATCTAATTGGCGCTTCAACTCGCGGAAATGACGATCTGCACGTCGCTGGTAGCCACACACAAATGCAAGGTTTTTCTGTTTGGCCAGTTCAACGGCTTCCACAACTTCATTCAACTCATGATGGGTTTCTCTGCAAGGACTGCCTTGTCAGCATTCAGAGCCTGCATGATGTACGGGAAATGCGTGTCCGTTGCTGAGGCAATGATCACTGCATGAACAGCATCTGGCCCTGCCAGGGCAGCATCTAGACTGCTGGACCACCTGCAGCCCTTTTCGGTTGCAATGTGCTTGGCCTTCTCCGTATCAACATCAATGACCCATGCAAGCCGAACAATACCGGGCAGCTGATGACAGTGGCCGGCACGACCAAGGCCCACTAGGGCCACCTTCACCACATCCACAGTCATCTTGAATTGGATCTTTGGACCTCACAAAACTAGGCCTGTGAAGCCTAACGGCTGCGAAAGACTGTGCATCGTCGGTTGGCTTCGAGTGTCAACAGTGAACTGAACTTCAAAGTTGCAAATCATGAACAAAGGACAGCATGAAGCAGGACAGGGAAGGACAACCCAACCTTTGTCCGTCCAAAACATTCGAAAACAACAACAACGACGACGACCACGACGACGACCACCACCACCACCACCACCACAACAACAACAACATATTATATATGGTAATATACAGCAGTGTACCCAACAACTCTTTGTGTATGTTTGTGTAGTTTCTTTGTCCACTGCTTTCCATCATGAGAACAACCACCCAGTACCAAGCTCGGCCTTTGTCAACGATCGCTCTTGAAGCACTGGAAACTCGCTGGAAACCTATTTTTGAGCCGGAGCTGAGCCTGCGCGACCTGTGATGCTCCCATGTTCTATTTCTTGCATATGATAGCATATGAAAGTTGGCAAGCAACTCCATGGAAACGAACCAGAGTTGCAAACCTGTACCAATGGCCAGTTGGCATATCAAGAATCACCAAGATCCTCCGAATTTCACAGCATGCAGTATGATATTCAAAATACCGATCGAGTGCACAGCCTCTCCCCCACACATTAGCACTCATGCTTAGCATCCTCAGCGCTGCCAAGTGTTTTTCAATAGTGTAGTAATATCATGGGCAACTTGGCAAACACTATTATATATATAGTTTCCGTCCTCTTGTGCTCTCCCAAGGCATGCCGGCACACCATGAATGTTTTTCAATGTGGTCATCCGGATCACTCCCCAAGTGAGTGGGGTGACCTGCCCCAGAGCTATACACATCAGCTGAATCCACAAAGCCACTGCACTGCAGATTTAGCACCCGACAGATCTGAAGATTGAAACCAAACCCCTCATTTCATCACAGTTACCAAGCCTTATCAGATCGCGTTGAACAATGACTTCTTGACAATGACGTAACATGTGATGGCTGCAAGAAGTTGGTGGATGTTGGTGGCAACATTTGAAGAGCGATTGCAACAGCTGTAGTTTCAATCTTCAAGAATACTGTACATTGCCGACTACCTACCAAATGTCTTTCAGATCCAAATAAGCATGCCCAATGCATGACACCCTTGGATTGAGAAATCCCAGTTTGGCTCGTTGCTGCTGGCTCAACCTTCTAGTGACACTAGTGAAGGCACTGTACCTGCGACGATGTCATTAATGACGAACTACTTCATCAATCAACCTGCGTTCTGACAATCAATTTGCCCTCGAGACCCCGTAGCAGCGTCAGCATTCAATATCCACCACTCCGACGCATCACCTTGACAAATCAAACAATTAGTTCTGGGTCTGCAAATTCAACTTTCATTCCAATCGCAGCCACAGGATGGATCGTGACCATCATGATTACCATGGCAACGGCTTTTGAGGTTTGAAATCCATATGCAATGACATCCATCCGTTTCAGGATGATGCGCAGGAAGATTCCTTAGGGAGGCCTGTAATACCAGTACTATATGATACAGCAGTGAACACCATGGTCGTGGAATTGCGCCTCAAGCCTCGCAGATGGCGAGCCCATGTAATTCCGTGGATCAATGCCTTGGATTGGAATCACGAGATGTTTGCCTCCGCTGATTCTCCGTAACAAGGCCCAAAGATTTTTGCAAGTGCGGTCATGACCCAACTGGAAGGAAGCTTGGACTGCCAAAAAACATCAAACAACCGAACAAAATGATGAGAAACTGCTCTTGTGATGATGGTGTTGCCACAATGCGAGGCTCTCTGTTGATTTTATCCGGTCTTTGATCAATGTGTTTGTTGCAAGAAACATTGGACTACGAGACAAACATGCCACAGAAAACAAAAAAGCGATGGGTTTGATTCATGCATTGCGTATTTCTGAGCACATACAGCAATTGTGAATCATTTCACAATAAGAATGGTCTCATCCTGTACCCTAAGTCTAGGTTCCTGAGCGTGCCTGTTTCTGAAAGCGCTTTTCTCTACCCCGAGCCATCATTTACTGTAAGTTCATCCTCGGTGGATCTCGGGGGGGCATACCACAGCAATTCTGGCTGCAAACCCACCCATTTCTCACTCCTATTCAAACTATAGGTATTGTTTTCTTTGCGGACCTTGCCTCCAAATGCTGATGGAACTAAACATATCTATATAAAAGTTATACGATTCTGTATATGGTGACAAAGCATGCCAAAGTGAGATTTCCAAATCTGCGAGCTCTCGAAGCCCAAAGCCGCACACCACTAACCCTGAGATTGATCATGGGAAGCTGCGTGCATCAACCAGCCGTGAAAGCGCGTTCACCTGCAGGGTGTGCAAAGCAGTGCAAGCTAAGCAAGCTGCACTTTGCGGGTTGGATGAACCTTGTTTACTTCGTCCTCGACTCCAAACTACAAACAGCTTTCACGAGCAAGTACATTGTACTAGCTAGCAATGCCAAATTTGAATCTCCATAATGCCCCAGCGACCAACTCAATTCAAAAAAAAAATAAAACATGTCGACAAACAAAGGTGCTTACATGACCAGTGTTCATCTGTCTCTTCCTTCATATTATCGTATAACATATATATATATATACACTGTATATATGATTTGTATTTAAATTTATGATGGGGGTCCTCCCTTTTGAGACACACTCCTATTGACGGGGTCTTAAACTGCAACCTCTTTTGGCTGGGTTGAGAACAAATGGTTGCATTGTGCCCGGTATCGTTCAGGGGTGTGGTGCGTGGTCTAAATGGACACCTGGACGTACATCATCTGCAGCAATCGCATCTAGCATCTATATATTTTCTAGATAGGTATCTTCGTGCACAGTGATATACAGTGATGCTTAGCTACAAAAGATTATGGCATTCGCTGGCATGTGAATGTCCAACCGCTTCCACCTACATGGGCCCAAGCAACACAGATCACACAAGCTGCGACCCAAAAGCACCTCCTGCCGGATAAGCTCCTGGTAGGACCTGACGCAACTTGGCTTCCAATGCTTTGAGTTGCTAAGAGGCTACTGGGTGCTAATGGGGTGCTTATTAGCCTCGGCAAGCACAATGTACAACTCCACGCCAAAGAGAACGACAAGCAATATTGAATTGCAAGAAGTCATATATGGATCTGAGTCCTCTGTACGCATTGTAACTCGCATTGAACTGTGTCAGGGTCACTTCCAACAATATTCAGCTTCATCTCTCAGCAAACATACCTACTCGAGCACTTACGCATGTTGATAGCTTGTGAGCCATCCAGTTTCAGATCTCTGGATGTAGTTCCCAAACAAAAACCAAATTGATCGTTTCGAAAATAAATGCGGCACAAATCAAGACTGACTTTTTTGTACAGCGTCACTGAAGGAATTGTCCCACATTCACTTACCATCCACTGGTCAAGCATCGTGCCTTTGCTCAGTATCAATGAAGCCGCTAAAGATACGCTGCTCCTCGATGAAGGCATTCAGCTCAGAGCGAACCTCCCCCACAGGGCATTGAGCAGGTCTAGCTGGTATGCCCAAGTCCCATGTGTATTTCTTGCCTTCGGGTGTAAGGCCTTTCTACATAGGTCTGCTATGGTCTGCTCATGATTGTACTATAGCATACTTTAGCTGCATAGTGACGAAATGCATCATGTGCACATTGGCATAGTGAGTAGTTGGACCATGGGGCGTAGACGGCCAAGGTGTTTCGCAATTGTTTGTTTTTGCCTTTTTGTGTAGTATTTGAAGCACTTGTGAGGTTTCCTTCAGGGCCACTGTGCATGTGTGGGGTGGGGCAACAGCAATCGGACCACGTGCTACGCCATGGCTGTGCTTTCGGCATCGAGCCCTACCTGACGTGTGCATGTGTGGGGGCAACGCTGGAGAAGAGTCTCAGAGTACATATATATATAATATGTGTATATATATATATACCCTGGGAGTCAAAGACTACGTATAAAAAGAATTGTCTTTAGGTGACACGAAAAGGAATGTCCTTTACTTCAGTCGGTCAAAGTATAGTCTTTGGACTTCTAGGGTGTATATATATACATATATGCGTTTGCGTACAGGCAACATCACACTCCAAAACATGCAAACAACATGTATATTAAATGGCATGGTCGTTTGGGGGGTTTGCTAAAAACATGCAAAATCTTCTGCTCTTTGTAGCGAAACGCTCATTTTCAAAGTCAGGTGGAGGCATCAATGACACCGTTGGACAAAAAAATCAGACACCTAGTCCAGCAAAAGGTTTACAACCTATGCGAGCGCGGCTGGGCAGACTCGAGGTTGATGCTGCGGTGCTACAAGTAACAGTTTCTACCATTGTTTTGGCCGATCTCAGGTGGTTGGCATTGTCATGCATTGTCCAATGAATAGAGCGTTAGCATGGTGGTCCTCCTGACTGGGAGCGTTGGTGTGCAGCTTTTGGCTTTGAAAGGTCCTTGTTTCCTTGCCTTTCGGTCTGTAGGCGTCTGGCTAATGTCAATGTTGCCTTCATATTCGTCACTGACATCGAAAACTCTTTGTGGACTGCAAAACTAGTCAGAAAAGAAAATGGAGCAGAAAAAAATGGAAAACACAAACAAATGTTGGTCGCTGGTTGCACTTAGCTGTTGTGATGTCGGCTGCGCGATGCTGGCTGTAAGATTCCGCAAAAAGTCCGCAGCATGCTTGGGCTTTGGCGCACCTCGTTCAGACTCTTCTCCGATGCCAACTGCGACTCTTCCACCGATATCTGGGCACCTGCTGAAACCTCCTGTCAGAGCCAGGTCAGGTGTGATCAAATGGAAAAACTCATGAGGAATGGCACCACAAGGACACAAATGAACCCGCTGTAATGATAATGATAAGAATTCGCTGGGCTCCCCAAGAAGAGCTCATGGCAGACCTGCCGTCATGAACTACACGCAAACTCTTGTTGGCCGGCCAAACAAACATCCCAAGGGTCATTAGTGATTCTCTGTCTGAAAGAGAAGTTTCAAAAAAAATGCTAAGTTATATTATATAATATCTCGGCGGATTGAGAAGT